AGTGCGTGTTACGGGATCTCGGGTAATCGCGAGGCCTAGGGGCCCCCTTTGTGCCATTGTGTTAATTTATGTGCGTTGTCCAGGGTATATTTATATGTGATGTCGTGGTTATTTGTAGTTTAGAGTCGGTGTTTTTGAGTCTCTTGTTCTATGAACCAGTAAAAGGGTGCGGCACCCCGCTCCTGTGAAAGAACCAGGCTAGACTCTGGTTGTTGATGGACCACATAGGAACTGGCGTATTGGCGCCGGTACGCGAGTTCCTACAAATGGCACATCAACGTTGGGGCAGGCGAGCCGCAATTACTGTCGCATCGTCCGTCGATGACATTGCGTGAACGTTCACGCGGAGCGTCCCCGCTGGTTGGCGGGTCAACACCGCGGCATTTTGAAGGTGGGAAGGGCACGTTCAAACAAGTGTTCGAGGTGGCCAGGGGTAATTGGGTTGTCGAAACCACAGTGTGACGTCAATCAAAGTACACAAGTTTTTGTGGTGCCATCCATTGGAAGTCAACAGTCTACCTCTTCCTCTCAATCGCTAGCCTCCCCATATTGTGGCAAACCGTTTTTTGGTGTCCATCGCTCACCACAACCTTCAAAAATGCCAAGCAATAGCAGCGATCGATTGTAGTCAAATCGGATCTTGCAAAGTCGGCTGTCTTGAAGGGAGGGTTGGGGGATCCGAAGATTGGTCGAATTTTGGTTTAATTTCTTAATTAAATTTAATTTGTTTATATTTTTTTTAAATAAAAATCGGCACCTACAAGAAAAAACGGTTTTGTGTCTTTTGTTCTACGGGTGACACAGTCTTGCAACTAATTGGCCAAAGTCCAAGAATCGTTCCAACGTTCCTTTAGGGAGAGAAACAACCCCGAAAGTCCATTGTTTTTCCGAAAAAATGCATTTTTATAAAATATTATATTTGGGTTCACTATATTCTGAAGCATAGTTTCAGAAAGTTTCATTTATAAAATAAACATTTTCGGCAAGCTCGTGGCCGCGCGCGGCGACCCGCCGAGCAAGCAGACGGCGAAGTTCGGCGTTTTCAAATTAGGCCTACTCCGCGCTCGTTTGACGCAGCCGAGATATCTTACCCTCGTTGGAAGCGCTGTTTCTTCTAGTTTCAGCCCACAGGAGCTTGCTACGTTTAAGGCTATCTGTGGCCCGGGACAACCCCGGGCCACATACATATGTGTATGTGGTACATACAAGCAAAAAAAAACGTGGGAACTAGAATACCAGCAATCCCATTGGTTGCAACCCGAAACAGGGCTCACGATTGGCCGACTTCGGCGACGTAGCTCCTTGTTCGCCTCATGTGCGCTATCGGCAGCTTCTTTTGGTTCTGATTGTATCACTGGTTCGCCGCTGTTTAGATTCGTTTTCCCTCTTTGTTCCCGGTAGTTTTCCTGCCGAGGAATGCCTGCTTTTAAAGTTAGCACTCGCAGTAGCTTTGGCCGGCGTTCTCGACAGCGAAATATAAGGGGTCGATCAGCAGGACTCCTCGCAAGAGACGGGGACCCGTCTCTGTGGCACCATCAATGCCGTCTCCCCCGCCATCGTCACAATCCTCAAGCTCAACTGGCGCTTGGCGGACATCGGAGCCTACAGCTTCATCTGTGAATGCTGATCGGTTTCATGTCTCCTCAGAATCGGATGTGCTGACCACGTTCGAGAGGAAGCTCAGCCTGCTCAATTTTGACGCGGGGACTACGGACGGCCCAGAGCCGACAGACGCTGCCGTTGAAAAGCCCGTGGATGGCTCCTCAATGTGTCCGCCGTGCAAACTCTTGTTGCTATTTTAGTCTGCCCCAAGTGCCACGGAGAACTACTGAGCTTTTGAGAAGAAGGAATTGGCATCAATTTTCGGTTTGTTGTTAGCTGCTCGACTTGCGGAGACATCATCGCAGCGTTGAGAGAACGAACTCGCGGTGTGTCTCCGCGTCGTTGAAATAGACATTGGCATCAGTTTCACAAAGCTCACAAATCTTTTCGGGGGCCTCAACGCTTCACCCCCTACTCATGTAATTGAAGGTGCCACCAATGACTCGGGTGGACTTTGAGTTTCTGGCATCGTCCGAATAAAAAAAAAGAGAAGTTGAAACTTTAAATAATTTTTGTCAGTTTCACTTTTTGGCAGATGTCACATTTAAGGGGGGACATGGGCCTAAATTTTAAATTTTTTAAAAAAAATCCATTTTTCAATTTTAAGGTTTTCAGTTTTATAAACTTATTATACACCCTTACACCAAATTTGATAACCATACGCCAAATAGTTATGTTGATATAGAATATTTTCAACACATTGTGAGGCAGTAACAAAGTAAAGGAGTTCAATGTTTGAATGCATTTTTCTCAGTTCCACTTTTTGCAGCAAAATTCATACGAAGGAATCTTTTATTCGAAGGTAAAAGTTTTCTGATACCACAATCAAGATGTTTCTGAACTGAAATTTACTGGGGAATCGGGCTATCTACTTTGTTTTGTTTTAAGTTGAAGTCCTCAGTGATAAAAAACTAAGTTTTCAAAAATTGACATAGGACAGATATGCATCTCATATTTTGAGGTAATAACTCTACCTGAAATATTTACATTTAAGTTATTAAAACTAGATAGCCCGAGGTCCCATATCCCCCACTTTATATTCAAGCAGTCAAAGTGATGCTTCTTAGCTTCATTTGAATATCATAGATTTCTTAATGAAAAGTGACACATCATCTTATGCAGGTATGTAAATTTGTCATAGAGAGCTGAAAGTTTTCACAGTACACCTACATCTGAAGCTAAATCTTCCCTGAAAATTTCATTTTGATCACTTGAGTAGTTCAAAAGTTTGACCTCTAGCCAGTGTCCCCCCTTAAGAGAACCTTGAATGTGACATCATTCAGGGTTCTCTGGGACTGAAATTTTCTGGGGAACAAGATGGACATCTTCACAGTTGAAAAAGCCTACTCCTTCATGAATAAAAGGAAAAAAAATCTTTTGAAACACGAAAATTTTACAATTCTTTAAAAAATTTGTGATGTTTTTTTCATCATAATTGAATATTTAGCAATCTACTTTTAATCTAGGTTGCACTATGGGCATTGTTCTTCACATTAAAGCAAGAAGTTTGCTACCAGCTAATATTATTTTTAGGGGTGTGCGAATACTCGAATATACGAATTCGAATCGAATAGAAAGTTCCCGAATAATTTGATTCGCGAATCGAATTCCTAGTATTCGGTTCCTCGAATATTCGATATATTCGGCCAAAGACGCGCGGTAGGCGCGGAGCAAACAAAAAAGAAAGCAGTTTTTTCTCCCGATGTAAGCGCCGTGATATTAGACAGACCATGCGAGAAACACCTCTTGGTCCGACCATTTCACAAAAATCTAACGCACAGGTTAGAAAACAGAAAAGTAACGAACGCCACAAACTTTATAGCACGAAGATTTACTCACGATCATGACACAATCTACCCTTGAATCACAACTGAAACATCCCGCTTGCGCCGCTTCCAGAGAGGAATTGTTGGGAGGCCGGAATTCCGCGCCAAGCCTAATTCTTTTCACGAGTAAAACTCCTCGTTTCAAATTGAAGCGCCGATGTAAAACACACTTGCCGCACTCGCAGAAATCGGCTACTGCACCACTGCACGATCACTGAAAGAAAACCAACGTTACCATGCCGGCGAAACCAACCGAGTTATCGTCGTCGTTCTTTTGGAACCGCGAATTCTGATTCGGATTCCGAATCAGAGCGACAACTCGGTTGGTTTCGCCGACGTGGTAACGTTGGTTTTCTTTCTGTGGTCGTGCAGTGGTGCAGTAGCCGATTTCTGCGAGTGCGGCAAGAGGCTTTACTCGTAAAAAGAATTAGGCTTGGCGCGGAAGAAACGGAACAGAAAAATAATGTGCCTAGATTTGAGAGGGTTTCCAACAGCTCGATAGCCGCGTTTGAATTACGAACTGCGAGAAGGCGCCGAAAAGACGAAAGCGTCGGTCGGGTTCGGGCAGGCAGGGCAGGCGTCGCCGCTCTTCTGTTTGTTCGCCTTCTTTCCACGCGACAACACAACACATGCGCATTCACGATCAATCTGCGATGAAGCCGTCTCTGTGGTTTCAGTTTCGGTTGCTCCCTCTTTTAAATCAAGGCTCTCTAAAACAGGATAGATAAACGGAAAAATGGATGCGTAGCGGCAGTTGGACGGTGACTTGCGCCACCTAACCACGTTTTTTTTTCTTACTTTAGACTATATTGTTTAAGCCAGTTTACCTCGTTGCTGTTTACTCAGATTTAACACCTGTCTATTTATTTATGTGAAATCAAATCCCAGGTGCCATTTTCTTTCCTTAAAATGGAGAACAACTATCGCAAAATGCCTCTTTTCTGAGATATACAAATATTAAAAAAAAAAAGTTGCGGTGTTAGGTTGTTTTTAAAGAAAAAAAAAAGGCACGCATGGCTGAAACTTTTTTTTTTTTTTTTTTGTGACGTTTAGGGTAGATAGATTATGTTTGCACCATAAAATTGGATCTTTAGTGCCCAACGTTCAACAGCAGCTGCTTTTTTTTTTTTTTCACCGGAACTTTTTTACATTTTGGCTTTTGTTTTGTACAGGACGTATATTCTGCACCAGGCGCATACTCTGCACATATAATAATCGCATTCTCAGCACACTTTGAAAAATTCCTACGAATAAAATCACTATTCGATATTCGATTCGATATTCGGTTTTTTTCCTTGATTCGATTCGGTATTCGATTCGAAAGCTACTATTCGGTATTCGCACACCCCTAATTATTTTTCAACGATAGACCTCTTAGTGAAATGTCTTTCTTCTGAAGTGCGATAACCGCAGCATACTGTAAAGTTGTCCGATAATGCTAAAACTTTGCAGATTATCCTTTTTCATAGTGCTGAAATAACTCAAAATTTGAATCAGATTGGGTGAAGGGTTTGAAAGTTGACCCTCCTAGGCCATATCCCTCTTTAAGGAAGACCCTCGCTCTGTGTGCAGAAGCTTCAGCTGATGTCTGCCCTGGGCCTGATGACGCGAGAGGCCCTCCGGGAACTGCAGCACCGGCGGGGGGAGCGCAAGCGGCGCACCACGGCCAACCCCCACTTCTCGAGCGCCGCCCTGGAGGAGAAGAGGCGCAACGCCCAGCTCCTGCTCGGGGAGGCACACCACCACCACAGGGGGCGCTCCAGGGGTGAGTGGAGCGGCGGCGTTTTCAGGCACCGCTCCAGGCACGTAGCCAGGGAGGCGGCCCATGGGCCCCCCCCCCCCGAAATCTTCGATTTTGCTGGAACCTTCTCTCCCCCCTCCCCCTCATACAGCATTTTGTCATGGGCGGGCCCCCCCCGAAACAAAATCCTGGCTACGTGCCTGCACCGCTCCATCCTAAACGAGCCAACGTGGGGAGTGCAGTGCACTTGTTCGCAGAGGTGTCTCTGGGTGGCACATTGTTTGTACTCAAATTTCGTAGGTTTTTGGAAAAAGAAATGCGCAAAAAGACAAACCTGTTTCTTAAGTAGAAAACAGAAAGAGTCGTATTTTTCGCCCGCATTGGGCAAAGAAACGAAAGCGATGACTGTAGCACAGTCGCGCAATACAGGCAGAGGGGACGTGCGACACGGTTAATTCTCGCAGCCTTCGCGGTCGGTGCCGTGGAGGCAATCGACAGTCCTATTGCAGATTTAAGCGTGGGTGGCACCGTCTGTGAGTGGCAACGAGAACTGGACAGTTCCTGTTTTAAAACGACGGCTTTATAGGGGAGCCCTCGAGGAACCATGCTTGCTCGTGTTGGTTCCACCATAGCAAAGCCGCCGGAGAATGTGCCGGCAACGGAGCGAACCTGTTGGTGTGACGTTGCAGCCGCTGCTACCACATAATGGTTTGCATCGCAATGTTACGTTGTGGTTCACGTGACAGTAAGTGTCGCACGCTGTGTCGCGTGCTGTGTCGTGACATAACCATGTGTCATGTGACGCCATCTACACTGGTGGCATGCTGCACCTGGGCGGAAGTCTGTATAATTACTTAAAAGCACCGAGGCTAGGTTAAAAAAGTCTCAATCACAGCCGAAATTTGTTTTTCGGCTAGTGATGTCCTAAATATTGTCTGAACAAAAAGACAGGAGAGGACATGAAAGACAGAAAACAAGCACAAAACAGACGGCCTACTCCACCACCTACTTTGCGCACGACAAGGTCACTTTGCACATGCCACGTTCCACGTATTGGTTTGTTGAACAATTAACAATCAATCGATGTTAGCTCTCTTGTGCCCTAATTTTTCGTGCTTTTCGTTCAGAAGTCCACGTTGCTTCGTCGTGACTGCCCTTGGCGTCGGTCGGGGTGCCGCTGCGCCTTTGAGCTGACCCTTGTGCTTTCCGTGGGTGCAGGTCGTCCCCGGCCGGGCTCCTCGGCCCCCAGCTCCCCCGAGGGGTCGTCCAATGAGGCGGGGTCCACGGCCAACGGCCACTCGTCGCCCCCGCCCACCTGCGACGTGCTCCTCAAGGTACAGCCCAGGGGAGGCCATTTGCCCTACTGAGCGTCGACTGTTTTGTGCTACGTCGTCCAGGCTGGCCGCAGCTTCGCGCTGCGGCGGAAGTGCGCTGCTTAGTCTGCTTTGCTTCGCATCTCGTTCGCACGTGCTCTCGCGTGAAGGAGATGCCCGATGAAGCGGTATGCTTGCTTACGTTCGTTAGCAACATTAGACCGCCCTGGCAGCGCACTAGCCCCGACAATGAGAACAAATGAGTCCGCGCCAAGTATAGATACGCTCGCACTGCACACACTGGCTGATGCTCTACTCAGATTTGAGCCCGGCTGCTGAGACTCCGTCCCATAGCGGCCATCTTGAATAGCCAATGAATGAAACATTCTTTGGCTAGGTGTTTGGCATTCTGTGAAGCCCAAAATGTGTGGCTGCGAGGCTTGACACTGATTGATTGACAGGTGGGAGAGGAGGAGCCAGGTGGCCCAACGCTGATTGGTTAACGGGAAGGTTGTGTGACCAGGAGTGGAGTGAGGAGGAGAGGTAGTCTAGGTGAGAGAGGACTGGGTTAGGAGGTTCTCGAAGATCACCAGGTTTATCATTTGAAGTGTACACTTGCCACTTATTAAATTATCCAATGAAAAGTACCGTGAATGTAGGCGTCTTACTGAACAGGCTAGATGTGCCGGTAAACATTTGGGGTGCTAGAACATTTCACGTATGCAATGCAATTGTATAGCATTTTGCTGTATAAAAGAACCGAAACGACAAATACTTGAAAGTAGCTTTGCTCACACATGCCCTCTGCTCTTGGAAACCATTCCAGTCATAGTTTGACTATGCAGTTAGATTACTGACTCAAAAAATATTACTGCGGGAGTTTCACATTCTTCTCCTCTAACGATAAAAGTAAGAAGGTCACAATTTTACATTGTATACCGAGCATTAGGATAAATATGTCATTTGTACCGCAAAAAATTACCGTAAAATCTCGGGTCATTGCCCAACCCCTTCACCACCTGGAATTCATAAAAACAATTGGGGTCGGCAATGTCTCGGTGCAGAAACAAGTTTAGAAAATACGGTAGAACCTCATTGAGATGTTTTTGAGGGGTCAGGGGAGATAAACCGGATGACCTGAGGAAATGTAAGAAACAAGAACGCCATTTGAGGGGTGCTAGAGATGCGACAGATATTATCAGTTGTCACGAGACAATTCATTTTATGCAAATATTCGTAGGTGTGAACTTGAGTTTGCTCAGAAAAAGTTTGCAAACATTCATAGGTGTAGAGTGAAATAAACATACTGTAAAAGTTTTTAAATATAATCTCGAATACATCCAGAAATATAATCTCGAATACGTTGGGAAAGCGCTCTTAATTCCCACCTGGCACTTTGGGTGTCTGAAATGTGGGCGAGCGGTGGAGTCTTGCGCTTGTGGAGGGCCATTTGTCGATGTCCTGGTTGGTTATGAAAAAAACCAGCTGAACTAAGGAAAAGGTAGAGATAGAAAGAAAGACACCCGATCGCTGGACTACCAACTGTTTTTATATATAAACCTCCTCTTCATCCTCTTCCTCTCCTTCTGCATAATTCACTTCGTTCCCCCCTTTTCCCCTTTGTTTTACGTTTTATTTTACAAGATGTTGACCCCCTTGGAGAAATAGTTTTTCGGTGCGCAACAAGGTGATTGAAGGTGCACTAACACACCCATCTCCTTTTTCTTCTATGGCAGCAGCTTCTAACATCTCCCGCGCGAGCTGGCTTTTGTGGCGTGCTACGATGTTAACTTGCGCGAGCTTCGCCGTGCACTTGCATGCTCGGCAATGCGCAGATAGGTGCCCCGGCGCTGTCAGGTTCTTTAGGTTGGCTGCGTGCTCACGTGTACGCTCGTTGATGCTGTCTTTCTTTCTATCTCTACCTTTTCCTTAGTTCAGCTGGTTTTTTTTCATAATGAGTAACCAACTAGCTCAGATTACACCAATCCTGGTTGGTTCACCTCCGTGCAGTTGTGCACAACACTTCAGTACACCAAAGTGGCAAAAAAAGTCTTGCTGAATGACAAGCTGTAGTGCATGTGCAGGATATTGTGGCATGCTAGATAATCTTTGACAGAAGCTTCTTTACAACGACTGGGGGAGTATCAGAACCCGCAGCGCATCAACCTGTGGAACCAAGGACCTAAGACAACACGGACCAGCAAACTGACTAGGACAGACCAAAGCACAATGTTACACCATCTTCGTGTTGCTCTTTAAAAAATGATTGATTTGTCACTGCCAGATGAAACGATTTTGAAGCGGGGTTCGAAGTAAAAAATCCAGGAGCGAAAAGGCACTCACTCTTTCGGCCCACCCTTTTTACAGATTTTTGGTGGCGGCCGACTTGAAAACTGTTTTGTCTGGCAACAAACACCTTTTTTGACGAGCAAAACAAAAGTGGCACATTTTTTCCTTTCGTGCGTTTGCTGCTTCGTTTTGTTGCGCGAATTTTGGCTCCCCGCGTGAAGAAAGCTGCAGGAATTGTTCCCGGCTGATGCACCGCAGATTTCGGTACACCTCCAGGCCCGCGTGCCAAGAAGCTTCTGTGACAAGCATCGCATTATCTCTTGGACGGCGGTGAAACCGTGCAATCGTCGAGTGGTTTGGCCTACCCTCGCCGTTCCTGGTCTTCCCCTGCATGTGAATGCACGTGGGAGGCAGACGATCCACGCACATGTCGTCTTGTGATCAACCCATCCGCGAATCGGCTCGTCGTGCGAGTCGGCCAGCTAAATAAACTATGGGGTGTAAAAGTGAGAAGGGAGATAGGCTTTATTCCAACTGAAGTGTTGCACTACGAGCCAGTTTTCGACCATTTTTTAGTACCCATTGTAAATAGAACCTACTTTGACCAGGGCCTTCTTTCTAAAAAGAAGGCTTTTTGTTCCTTTTGTGCCCTATCTATTTTAGTACAAAAGGGAATAGTAAGTAATATTTTACAGTATTAAAAAGAAACCCTCAGTCATTATCAAAGATGAATTCATTTAGCGATGCAATCACTCTTTTTATTTTCATGTGATGTGCAAGCAAATGTTGACATCTGCTCCAAAAGCGTTTGTGGTTGCCCCAAACCAATATTTTGCCCACTACAGAGCCTGCTATAGAAAGTCAAGTGGTGCCTTCATAACTGTGCATAATTACGAGCCACTCGGTAGTAAGTTCATTATTGTTTGTAAGCTCTCTAGGTTCCTTAACTGCACTGCACCGATGCAGAGGTTGGGAGTGGTTTTTCAGCCATCTGTCGAGGTTGAAATGTTAGAAAATCACTGCTCTAAGGCCTACTTCAGACGGAGCAATTTTCCCAGCAATTTCATTCCTCTGGAAGCTTGGCGGGACCGGCGCTTGTGAACGAAAGGCCGCGAAGATGCAAAAAACCGGGAACGTATCAGTGACGGTCCACTGTAGTCTTTTTCTTTATTCATCTGGTGTGGCAGAACAGGAGGTACACCTAAAACAAAACTGGTGTTAAATTCGTTGCTTTACGCCCAAAACGTTCGTAGAACAATGTTTTACTATCGTGCAATGTCCATCGCTTGCGGTCTAGAGGGAAGCAAACTATGCATACTCAGTGCATACCTGCCAACTCTTCCGAATTTTTCGTAAAATGTATGAATTGGGACTAATTTTACAATTTTACAAATCTTGCGTCAAATTTTACGAAAAAAAAAAACTACATAAAACTTTTTAATTTTTTTTTTACATTTTTTTGTAAAACCGTTGTTGGCGGTACCTCGCACCGCCACAAGAGGGCGATAGGTACCGTCCAGGGCAGCGTCGTGTTTTATACTATCTGTGTATCCGGTGGCCACGGATCCAAAACCAATCCAAAGCCCAGAGCCTTTGTTCGTGTGTTCAACGGCACACGTTGGTTCGGCGTGTTCAGACGTGGTCGGGCCCCGCTGTTTCGGCCACTATCGAGGCGAGAAGTGGGGCGTCTGAGTTTGTTGCACGTGAAATCGTAGCATTCCTATGGTCGCGGTGGCTTTGCGGTGCAATGGCAAATTTCAAACCTCAAAAGAGGTACTCTCTGGTGTTCCTGAAGTCCTACACGTTGGAATTCCCGTGCTTCGTGCTTTCCACAAAGGGAGAGAAGTTTGGATTCTCTAGCACGTGCACGTGTGATGTACGCGTTTCGCACAGTGGCATCGCTTCGCGTGACCCCCTCCCCGCAGCCGCGAAAGTTTTACAAAATTGAAACCCCCCCCCCGCAGCCATGGGAGTTTTACGAATTTGAAAGTCCACAGGTTGGCATGTATGTTAGTGTTTCATTCCTTGCCCTGAACACTTTCAAGCTGACTGGACAACGAAGGTGACAAGCACGAAATAACCCACGCCTTGGCTTAGAAACTGCAAATGCTTATTACATGAAAGTATGTTTCAAATCTGCGATCTTGTGCCTGTAGCCACCTTCGCTGACCTGTAAGCTCAAAAATAAATTCGCTAAAACAAAGAAAACGAAAATGCCTAATTTTACATGTAAAGCTAGAAATAATGTCACGAATGACAATTGATGAGGGGATGATAATTGAAGAAAGCTAAACGTTTAGTCGGGCGAACTTGTGCCCAAAATAAAGAGAACACAAAGAAGAAGAACAGAGCGTCGCGGGCGTCGAAGTCGGCGTAACAGCAGGTTCGAGCGCTAGGGCGAGACTGACTCCGGGTTGCCACGCGGAGCCGCTTTCGTACACGTGTGGGCTTCTGGAGCATTCGGCGTAGAATGTTCGACGCGTAGAACATTCTAAAATTTGAATCAGCAAGTGGGTTCTCGAATTCAGCAGAACATAGCATTACAGTGTCAACAAAACTGTGTAGCTGCGGCCCGGAATCGAACCCTGGCCCTTCGCGTGGGAGGCAAGCGCGATAACCGTTAGGCCACGGCCGCGCTGCCTACTTGGCGCGCGGGAATATGCAGAATGTGTTTTTGGTCAGCCCACATGTTTGTTGTTATTTCTGCAGCACTTGGATCATACATACCTGACAAAATTGTTGCGTGTGGTTGCACAGTTGGTGCCGCTAAGGGTCACGCAACCACGCAGTGTGGCATTGCGGTGTCATGTTTTGGTCGTCGTACCACGCTGCGTCCCCTTCCGATCGCATCACAGGATATCACATTATGCGACATCTGGCGACCCCACCTAGCGACATTGTACAGTCGAACCTCGATATAACGAACTTCAATGTAACGAAATCCTCGATTTAGCGAAGTATTTTATTTTTCATAATTTCTTGCCCATAGACCCCATGTATTTTTAGTCCCTATATAACGAAGTCTATTTTGCTGCTATTTCAATATAACGAAGCGCCATTGTCATAGAAGGCAATAAATAAATCAACTCTAAAAAACAACTTCGCAAAAAAATTGTGGTTCAAAAAAAAATTATGCGCAAACGCGAGCGCTTGATAGGTTACTTCACGGGGACAGGCCTTCCAACGTTCCTAGGCTGCCCGAGGATGCGGCGCCGGTAGCGCCGGCGAGGCATGCGGCAAAGCGGATTCCGCGAGGCTGGCCAGAAAATGCCGAGCAAAAAGTTAACACGGCATAACAGCATCACCACTGACATTCACTGATCATCATAGTCTACTGTACCGCGGGTAGCGCGGGAGCCAACTTCAGCGGGGGAGCGACGTGATGGCGCGACCGCGCGACCGCACGGGCAGTGTCATCTAGGAGAAGACCGAAAAGACCGATTATCGTGTTGCGAGTGTGATGTAAAGCAAAGGCGCAAGCACACTGTGGGCGCAAGGGGGCAAGTAAACTGTGCGGTCAAGAGTGCTGTGTAGATTGGAAACATTGGCACCGCCTAAACTAAACAGCTTTATTTTTTAACCGGGCGGTTCACTCACGTGCTTGCTGCCATAAGGAAACGTAAAGTTCTTTCTTTGGATGAGAAAGCAAACGTTTTGGACGCCATCCTGAAGAAACTGCCGAGATCACGAGCACTCGGGAAGTGCTCGACACAGTGGACGTACTGAGGAGGTACACGGCGTCGCATGGGCAGCAAGATGCCGTGCAAGCGCTCGAACGCCGTATGATGCCGCCGACGCCGCTGCTACTGTCGGACAAGGCGCAAGCAAAACTCGCGGACTACTTTGCCCCTAAATAAATGTCATTTTCGGTGAGTTTTCATACCCGTAAAATGTTTCGGAATTTTTTTTTTTTTTTTTTTGCATGCTAAAGCCAAATTTCGATTTAGCGAAATTTCAATGTAACGAAGTAAATTGCGAATTTTACCGACTTCGTTACATCGAGGTTCAACTGTATAATGGTTGTGGTCGGCTGTGTTGCTGTGCAGCATTGCGTCCCGAATGGGGACGCTTCACAAATGTTAGTTTGCGGAATCTGAGCAAGCATTTATTTACTCTTCATTTTTGTCACAAGCGTTCTTAGATGTCACAAACAGCTTTTGCAGTTCTTATTGCTGGGGATGTTCGTTGACGTTGTGGTTCGCAACATCAGCAAACGTTGGAGAAGCTTCATGTCACTTCACGATGGGCCCTTGCGTGCTTGCAGAGGGAAGAGACTGGCCGAGGACTGGCCAACGGGGAGCTCCCCGGGGACTGGAAGAGCCTAGCCGAGCCGGCGTCCAGCCGGTCGGCCGCCCTGGGCTGGGTCAGCGACTACGCCCTGCTCAAGAGTGGTGAGCAGACGCCCGGGGAAGCAAAGTGGTTCATCAGGCTGTTCCTTTCTTGCCGTAGAATACTGTGCATCTGCCCATTCCTCATTAAGCACCCATATCCAGATTTCTAAGATATTGAAAAAATATGCACAGTACATTTATACGTAAAATTGACGACCGGACAAGCGCCCATCCCCCATTTTTTTGCGATTATCTCTAAATTTTGAGTTGGCGCTTCCCCGATATTTTACGGTAGTTTAACAAATTGAAAAACGGTGAATTTTTCGAAGAAATGTGATTTTGCGTTGTTTTAGTGCTCTATTATCTTTGAACCTTCCTCTTTTACGTGTAAAAAAATCAAGACAGGCTGAATGAACCACTGGGTGTAAAAGTGAGAGGTGAGATAGGCTTTATCCCAACTGAAGCGTTGCACGAGTCAGTTTTCTACCATTTTTTAGTAGCCATTGTAAATTGAAGCCTACCCTGACCAGAGCCTTCTTTCTGAAAAAGAGGCTCTGTGTTTCTTTTCTGCCCTATCTATTCTTGTTACAAAAGGTAATAGTAAGTAATATTTTACGGTATCAAAAAGAAACCCTCAGTCATTATCAAAGATGAATTCATTTAGCGATGCAATCACTTTTTTATTTTCATGCGATGTGCAAGCAGATGTTGACATCTGCTCCAAAAGCACTGCTCCAAACCACTATTTCGCCCGCTACAGAACCTGCTGCAGAAAGTCAAATGTCGCCTCCATATCTCTGCATAACTATGAGCCACTCTGTAGTGAGTTCATTATTGTTTGCAAGCTCTCTAGGCTCCTGAAGTGCATTACTGCACCGATCCACAGACGGGAGGTGGTTTCTCAGTCATCTGTTGAGGGTAAAAAGTTTGAAAATCACCGTTCTAAGGCCTGCTTCAAAAGGAGCAATTTTCCCAGCAATTTCGGGGTTGCTTGCGAGCTGTTCTATATTATTGCCTAGATCAGGAATGGCCAAACTGCGGCTCGCAATTCCTCCTCCCCCCTCCCCCCCCCCCCCCCCCCCCCCTCCCGGTCACACGAGAACTTCCACAAAAAGATAAATGGAACGCGTTTTCGATCGAAAGACTGGTTGTAGTTTTGCAGACTTGTGCTGCCTTGCGTACAGGTGGACTGCTTTTGACTCGGATAGATTGAAAGTAGTTCGGGTTTCGTTTAATGTTGTGGAAAAAAAGTTTGCTCCCCCCCCCCTCTTCCCCCCACTCTTGGAAGTTTCGTGGTTTTGTTTGCGGCTCTTAGGCCAGGTCAGCTTGGCCGCCCCTGGCCTAGATCCTTACGCTGCCACAAGAACTGCCAGAATGGAGTCTGGCTCGAGACAGCCAAGCGACTCAAACAACTCGGAGACATTCGAAGCAGCAGCAGCCAATCGGGGATTGGCTGCTATTGTAATTTTTAAGGGGCCTACGTTAAAACTTTCGCAGTTTGCCACAATTCAAGGACCTCTTCAGCGCCTTGTGTTTTGGTGTGTGCTCAAGTGGTGTTTCCCTGTAAAGGGGGAGATCAGTTAGTACAGCACTCTCAATTCCATTTAAAGCTATAAATATGCGTTATTGACGCGTAACTGCGGGCCTCAACAGTGGGACAAACTGAAAAACAATGTTAAGGATGACGATTGCAAAATTTAGTAATTTGAGTTTTCACGGTTTCCGCGCGTGGACGTTGGGAAATAGGGGGGAAGGGGGCGTCTCAATGTTGCGTTGCCACATTGAGACGCCGGGAAATATTGCCATGTCCAAAAAGGGCCTTAGCGTAGCTTGCTCGATGGCTCTAGAAAAATGCGAAAGGTGGTTGGAAGGTGTTAGGCCGGAGCCGCCGGTTGCGATCGGCAGTCACTAGAATAGCTATGTTCAGGATATTGGCGCTCTTTTCCCTTATTTCTTAACTTCATCGGGACGGTCTTTCGTCTGTTCGTGCGACTACGATGCCTGCGACGCTTTTGCACGTAGCGGGTTGAGAGCCGAGAGGCCACTTTTTTACGTCGCGGTGAACGCACCGATCGGAAACGCTTTCCAGGGACTGCGGTAGGAAGGAGCGTGACAATGGCGGGTCATGTTGTTCCGTGCAGCGAAAGTGGACGAGAAGCAGAAGCTGCTGAACCGCAGCCTGGAGCTGAAGGCCGAGCGCATGCAGCTGGAAGAGAAGAAGCAGCAGCTCTCCGAGATCATCGCCGTAAGTCGGACTTTATATTGAGAGACGGGCGGGTGACCCTCGAAAGCTCGCCACGAGCTTCGCCGTCCGCACTTGACAACTTGGGCTTCCGTCGCATTGGCGTAGTGTTTGGGGCTGTTTTCAAGTTAGCCACCGTGGAACAAACATGCGCAAACGGCTTGTCGAAATTTTCTTTCTGCGCATGTTTGTCGTTTGTTTTCTTCTCGCGGTGGCGACGATGCAAAGAGAGATACAATGGCCCTTTCGCCTCCTGGCTTAGTCGGCTGGAAGACGTACACCTCCGGCCCGGCTAACTCGTATGCTGCACATGGATGAAATTTTTTTTAGGTTATTGTTGTTTATACGCCTCGCAGGTGGGCTCATTTTTGTCTTCTGCGCATGAGAAAGGAAGTAGCGGTGACGTCAGAACGTCGAGCCCTGATTGGCTGATCGCGACCCCCTATCTTAGCGTCGTCTGCTTCTTTGCAACGTCGTCTGCTCGCGTCGTCGTCTGCGTCTGTCTTGCCTTTCCTGCGACTTTTGGAAGTCGAGCGAGCTCGACTTCGCCTTTTAGAGAGGGCAGACGAAATAACTCGAGCAGTACGTTGTTTTTGTCTAACAACTAGCAGACGCACATCAAGGAGGGAAATCAAAGGACTCGCTGGTGAGGTGTCCCGAGGCGCCGAGGTTTGTTTGCTAAAAACCGTCAGTGAGCGTGTTAGTGTCTGCAAGTTCCCTCCTAAATACTTTTTCCCTCCTTTCGTGTGCGGTGAGACTCCTCACTCTTTAACGGCGTCGGCGGGTTGGCGCAGTGAATGTCGTCTACTTTACATCTGCTAGTCAAAGCTATGGCTGCTTTACCTTTCCTGCATCTGTCGGAGATTCACCGCTTTTTCACCGGCGAGAGTCACCGTTGCCTCGGAAAACAAGGAGATGACAAGAGGAAGAGATAGACCTCTTAATTTAAAATTGAGGTCAGCGATCAAAGTATAAGACGGGAAGGATTCACAAGGGTCGCGCGGGCATATTCTATTCAGCACGCCAGCCGGTCGTGGGCAGACGGTCGCCGAGTTGGAGTGCCTGCTAGGCCTATCTGCCGAGCTCGCTTGTGGTCGGTGGAATCGTGGCCGTTGGAGCTTTTCCCGGCTGTTTGTGGATCCAGCGTCCTTGTTCGTCGTGGTCTGTTTCAAGTACTTTTTACTTTTTTCTTGCTGCTTGAAGTCGGGACGCATGTGAAGCGCACATAGAAAAATAAGCGTGGGTTGGTCGTCGCGACTGCAACGCTTTCGGCCATGCTGATTTCATCGTAAGAAGTGCGTAAGACAGCTTCGGAGCTGTCGTAGGATTTCGTCATAACCTGTGCAAAACTTACGAAAATTTAGTTTCGTGAATACGAGTTTGTTCTTAAGTTTTGTCTTAGGCATATTTTTTGCATAAGATTGTTTTGTGAACCTTGCCTCTGGCCTCTGCATTTTTGAAAGTCGCAGGAAAGGTAAGATGGACGCAGACGACGTTGCAAAGGAGCAGGCGACGCTCAGATAAGGGGTCGCGATGAGCCAATCAGGGCTCAGCGTTCTGACGTCACCGCTATTCCCTGCGCAGGAAGCAGATGAACTTGCCCTCCGCATATGCTGGGCCGCTCGTTTACTCACTTCAATGCAAGGCACTCCCGTCTGATTAAGAAGGCGATGGACGCCGGTCCGGCAGCCGTGATTCCACAAGCTTCGCTCATTGCTCCGGGGCCCTAGGCTGGACGCTTGGCGAGAATATCGGCGAGATTTCTGACCGCCGGGATTGGCCAGCGCCCCGCTTGACATTGGCACTGGCCTCTTCAGGTGTAAAGAAATGTTTTTGGTAGACATGGCTGGCTGACTGTACTCTGTTGTCGTGTGTGGCCCCTTTATTTTCCGTTTTTGTGCAGGCACCGAAATTGATGTGCGTCGTTGTTGTTTGTCCAGCATGGGGCAGAATCTGGTTTTATAGCGAGTTCGTTTCACACGCACTGGCACCGTTCGAGTTCTCTCCCAGAATGCATCGCACTCTCAGAGTGTTGCACGGAAAACTGGACTCAAACGAACTCGCCAAATGCACCGAGTGCAGAATACTGATGCTGCCGCCATCTATGTTGTAGAAAAGGTACCGACTTCAAACCGAAACTAGCGCCTTTCTGATCGGAGTGATGCGTGGGAATGCGAGAATGCAGTCGCTACCAACGTTTATTTACAAACGTTGGTCGCTGCAACCTGTAGTTTATAGTTGCGATGACTTCAAGCAGCTCGGCTGCCGTAGAGATAGTTACAGACGGCGTAAATTTCCGCAACCAGCTGTCTACAAAGCAGCTGGTTCCGATCTTTCAATTCCTATAACCGTTTACACTGAAGAAAACTGATGATGCTGTCCGAGCACAAGCATGATTCGCTTGAGCATGGTATTATGCGTGAACCACTGAAAGGGTGCGGCTTAAAACTAGCCTGTTGGAATATCCAGCAAAACTGGGACTTTCGATTTAGATCGTCATTATAGGTGGATCAGATGATCCACCTATAATGCCTCAGTGAGGGCGTCGAGAACGAGAGCATTCTCGAACAAAATACGACGGGGCAAGTTAGCTGACGTAGGTAAATGTTAAACATGATGATGTTGCCCAATCATCGGGGAAAGTTACCATCTTTAGCTTTCTCTGATGCTTATTGGGCAGTCAGAGGTTTCTGCTGAGAGAGTTTTGTCGACAAATGTTAAATTTTTCACCCGCACACGGATGGTGATAGATATCTCGGGGGCCGCTTTTACGTTTGTTCTGAGCATTCCTTTACACATTGGTATATTTCAGCGTCGGTGCGGCAACAGAGCGATTTAAAACCTGCAAATAAATCACGGGTTGTCAATTGCTTCCTTCAGGAAATAGCAGACGCTCACAATTCAAGCTCGCGTTTGATTTCGTGGCCCGTGGGACGCGATTTCTATCAGAAAATCTACTTTTTTTTCCGTTCGGTTCCGCGACACGTCGTAGCAGACGAACCCTCGTCGTCTGCTCCCGCTCCTCGCCGGCCCCGCCGGAGCGAGGCATGACGGGATTGCATTTTGGCGCACTCCCGATTTTCTCGGTGCAGCGAGTGCATGCACGCGTGGGGTGTCAGCGCTGAAACGAACTCGGAGAGTGGAACCACTCGTGGAGTGCCGGCCGAAACGAACCCGTTCCACGCTGCGAGTGGGCACGCGTGGGCACGAGTGCCGTGAAACGAACTCGCTATTAGTTCCGTGGTTTTTGTTTTGGTATCAGGGTGTCGAACCGAAATGTTTTTCGTTCCGGTTTTCCTTCCGGTTCTGGGAAAACGGTTCAGCTCTGGTTCAACTCCGGAGTGTTGTCTCACATCTTCCACTTTAAATTCATGCAGTCAAAGTGGTGCTTAATAGCTTCATTTGCATGTCGTAGGTTTCTTAACAAAGTGTGACACATCTTCTTATGCAGGTGTGTAAAATTGCCCTAGAGAGCTGAAAGCTTGCACAATACACCTACATCTTGTGTTAAACCTCCCCTGCAAATTTCATTCCAATAACTTGAGTAGTTCAGAAGTTAAATCTCTAGCCAGTGTTGCTGTCGTTTTGCTTGCTGTGGACGCAAGCAACAGAAATGCCTGAAGCAGTGATGGCCTGTAGCTGAGCCGGTTGGTTATCCATGCTTACTGATTACCAGCTGAACGTTAGGAAAGCGACGAAGAGAGAGTGTGTTTCTTTCTCTCTTCGTCGCTTTCCTAACGTTCAGCTGGTAATCAGTAAGCATGCCTGAAGCAGCCTTAACCGGTCATTTATAGATGCTTTACACACGCGCCAAATTACAGCCGCCATTGCTGACCCTCTCTTGTCTTACCGAGATGCCGAGCAACTGAAACGGTAGTTGACGATCCTCTACAAAGGCCGATGCTTTAGAAAAGGACACAGTTGAATCTAATGTGGCAAGAACCTGGCCTGCTATGGTAATGATGAAGTGAAATAAACGAAATAAGAGGAAACAAAAACTGAAGGTCAGTTATGGCGGCGTCCATGCACAGCTGCTGCAAAGCGTCTATACAATAATGGGGAGCTTCAGATCTCGAGAGAATTTGGCAGAAGTCGCCGTAGAAGCAGGCGGTGCGGGCCATGTCATTTCTCCACTCGGATAGTCCCAGTAAAACGCCCCGATTATTCCAAAATTTGCTCTAAAAACTTCAGATAATAAAAAAAATTGCAATCCATGTATTTATTTGGGTTTGCTCGTTATTTTTCCGTTGATGTGCAGCAAGACACAGTAGCAGCACTCTGCCCGTAACCTTGAACAGGGGTCGCCATGTTTGGGGCTACGGAAGATGGTTGGCACAACAGATGACAGGCAAATCTGAGTGAGGTCTATTGAAACTCCAGGATGCCACGAATCTTGTTTGAAGTATCGGAAGTTTGAATTATCATAAAAATAATTAAGTATGGTGCGAGATAAAACTATGATTTTTTTTATGATTTGTTATATGGATGCCACATGCAAAGCAGATTCGATGATTTCCTTTAATCGTATACATTAGGTATGCTGCAGATGAAGCATCGGTGAAATGTATGAGATAAGTTTATTCATCCCTCAAAAATGTTGTCTATAGGGGACTGTTTAGGCAACAAATGACACCTCGAAAGAAAAATAAGTTTGTTCGTCCAGCAAAAAAGCTGTGTATTGTGATCTGTTTGCCCCATTGAAGGAGCTTCTTTCCGAGCACCGGTGCACTGCGGAGAAGCAACACCCGCAGAAAGAAGCATGCTCCACGCGGTGATGTGATTGCTGCGCCAAACTGCGCCAAGGGGCTACCCCTGCTACATCCTGCTACATTTTGCCAAAATATGGGTAATCTGCGCCAAAGGACCTATTTCGGTCGCCTTTCAAAACCGAAACTAAACTGAGAACCGTATTTGAGCACGTGTGAGCTAGGTGGCGCAAGCGGCCGCCCGACACAAAGTACCGTGCATCCATCCGGTCTTGCATGGTTTTTGCCGCCGTCTCGCGTTTCGCGCCTCGTCGTCTCGGGAATCTCGTCTCGCGTCTTTTTTAAACTTTTTCAACAATAGACACGGGCGTGTGCGGATGCTCCGACGCTAGTGTGCCGGGTGTCAGACATGCTGTTGTAAAACAAAACCACGTTTTTGCGCGACGAGAGTTGCTTTGTGAGCTGAAACATTGGCCGCGCGACGTCGGATGTTGCCGTCTTGACGTCGCTGCAGATATGGTGCTTTCTAAACTTGTTTATCGACATTCCTGTCATTGTTTAAATCATACCCTACTACAAAAATCCCTCTTTAAAGGGATACTACAACGAAATTTCGGCACTTATCTCTTGGTCTATTCGTGTTCAAGGGAGCACTATCACATCAGACACATCAATCTCTTGTTGAAAAAGGCACAAAAAGGAATTTTAAAATGAATTAAACGATTAGCAAAGAGCACCTGGTGGATGTCGCTAACTCCTCGTTTGTAATGCCTGTCTAGGAACTTTGACAGCTAGTGACGGAGGTTGTCTCGTCTCCGGCCACCACGAGAGAAGAGGGGAAAGAGGAGCTCCCCTGCCCCCGACAATATCCTTTGTGTGTCCCAGAAGTCGCTATTGTCCCCCTACAAGATTATAGAAGACTAACCCGTCACTCAAAATTCGTACAAAAGCAGCCGCTTTGGTGGCTGGGACGACTACGACATCTTCTCGACATCAGCCTCGCCAAAGCTTTGCTCGTTACGAGACGAACTACGTCACGATTGTGGCGAATGTCACATGCTCTCAGCTGGCTGCTCTCCGAGCGCTTACCAGAGTGGGCCGTTTATAACCAAAAATACAGAGATCAGGCTCAAAATACAAACATGCAATTATCATTTACGGATATTGTGGATCATATTCCACCTATTTCTGAACACGACGGGTGTTTTTCAAATTTCGTTGAAGTGTCCCTTCAACGAAATTTTTTTCATTGAAGGGACACTGAAGGAACACCAGTCACACAACGAAATTTTTCAAATTTTGTTGCGTGACTGGGAGATGCCCGATGAATGTGCGAAGTTTATCGTAATGTATAACGCTGCAGTAAGGATACTTCCGTGGACCGAAAGAGCGTGCTTTGCGCATACGCTTCAACTGGCAATTAATGACGCGAGATCCCGTTCGCCGGCCATTGATTGGCTGTGCAAGAAAGTGAGGCATATTGTGGGACATTACAAACACAGTTCATCAGCTCAAAAAAGGCTTGAGGAGTGCCAAAAGAAGATGGGAGAGGACACACAACGTCTGGTGCAAGACATGGAGACGAGATGGAATAGCCAGTATATTTTTATCTCGCCTTCTGGAACTCAAAGAAGAAGTCACTGTGGAGCTTGCTACCACGGACTGGGACATCGGTAGACTTCGTTAATCAGAGTTGAAAGATGCTTCTGAATATGTACAAAACATTGAAGCCATTGTTTGATGCCACTGTTATTGCCAGTGGTGAGAAGTATCCGTCTTTGTCCTTCCAAGTTCCTGTGATTTTTGGTATGCTCCAATGTCTAGGTAACTGTTCTGGGGCATCATAATTTCCCGCAGAACTGATAAGATCCATCAAGGCAATGTTCACTCTGTATAAGGAGGAAAAGGAAGCATGCCTTGCTATGTTCTTGGACACACGCTTGAAGTCCACTATTTGTAAAGCTGAAAAGGAAAAATTATTATGGCTAAAAGCTCTGGGGTTGCAAGAGCTAGAATAATGTGGTGCTACTGAAGCAACCCACCGCAAGCTGAAACACAGCCAAAAGTGCAAGGCACAACGCCGTCAGCAATGTTTCGCAATCATTTGACCACGTAGCCAAAAGTGCAATAAAAAGCAAAGTGAATTCAGCTTCAGAATGGGAAGTTGTAGCATATGCGGAGGAGTCGCTGCTAAAGAGAGAGAGAGAGAGAGAGAGTGATCCGTGTGAGTAGTGGCGAACTGTCGGGTGCTTAAGATATCCGAGTCTGGCGAAGCTTTGCACCAAATACCTGGTAATACCTGCCACTTCAGTGCCGAGTGAGAGGGTTTTTTTTTGTGGCTGGAGGTGCAGTTTTCACTCGAAGGGAGCGGCTCCTACCTGGCCATCTGCAGCAGTTGATTTTTCTGCGTGACAAGTTGTAACCTTCCCTACAACTATAATTTTCTTTTTTGTGCTTTTATTGTCCCAGTGCCAGTGAGGCACTGTTTACACCAGTGTCTCACTGGTGTTAACGAGAATAAAAACACAAAAACGAAAATTCTATTATAGGGAAGGTTACAAGTTGTCATGCAGAAAAATCAACTGCAGTTCCGACATATGGAAATAAAAACGCTGTGAATAAATGCACCTGCCTTCGACTATTCGGTATTCAATTGATATTCGAAGCTAACTATTCGTATTCGATTTGTATTCAAAAATATTAATTATTTGTACACCCCTAATAAATACATTAAAAGCTTAGTGGAACAACCAAAATCTTGAAATTTGTACGAATTAACAGGAAGTATAAAGTATCCGAGTTTGAATTATTGCGAGCCTACTGCATCAGTGCATCGACTATCTTATGATTTGATCTAAATAAACTGCGAAGCAGCCACAATGCTATTCTTTAGTGTCATAAGTAATTTCTTGTTTACTTTTGAATGCATTTGCACACACAAAGTTCATGAAAGTATATGTTTATCGCCTAGTTACGTGCTTAGGGAAAATTACCAGTCAGGGAGTGAAGAGGCAATTTCGATACCCAACAAACTGAATCACCCTTTTTAAGAAAATGAGTTCATTCTGTTTTTCTTTTTTAACCCCTTAAGTGCCTTGGACAAGCTGAGCTCGTTGGCCACTTTCTGGCTAAAAATGCTGTGGACGAGCACAGCTCATCCAGTGGTTTTTTCGGTTGCCCTCAATTCCACGGCTAGGCTCGTCCGAGTAGTTTTGCGGTGCTGATCATAGATGGCAGCACTCATATTATTTGGCAAATATTTTTCTCGCCTCCGCTGATTTTTGCGTAAAAAACTTTTCAAATTTAATGTGTAATACTAGAGGAGTAACAATTCAAAATAAAAAAAATCTGGCACTTTTAGGGTACTTTTTGATAAAAAAAAATTTGGCACTTAAGGGGTTAATGTGCTATGCTCACCTTTTTTTTTGTGGATTTACTACGTCTATTTGTTTTTCAACAGTCGTGCCATCTCAGTGAAGAAGGCCAGGAAGGTGAATTAGAAGTCTAAAGGCAATGCTGTTTGAAAACAATACTTTCTTAATTCTCATTCTTGATAGTTAAGGGCTGACCCTGATCTTTAACATTTTTCTGTAATTTCTGATCTGATATATAATACATCTTCACCTCCACTTTTAACCCCTTAACTGCCAAATATTTTTTTCCAAAAGTAACCTAAAAGTGCCATATTTTTTTTTTATTTTGAATTGTTATTCCTCTAGTATTACACATAAAATTTGAAAAGTTTATTACGCAAAAATCAGCGGAGGCGAAAAAAATATTTCCCTACTAAAACGAGTGCTGCCATCTATGATCAGCGCTGCAAAACTACTCGGACGAGCCTAGCTCGTCCTTTGAATTGAGGGCTACCGAAAAAACCACTGGGCGAGCTGAGCTCGTCCACGGCATTTTTAGCCAGAAAGTGGCCGACAAGCTCAGCTCATCCAAGGCACTTAAGGGGTTAAGCTCTTTTGCTAAGCACAAACATAAGCCAATTTTTTCTATAATTGTTTTCAAGAAAACGTGAACCGTATCACAAATGTTTCTGCCCAAATTTTTTACAATGCCCCCCTAAAAAATTATGGCATAAGGTATATCAGCATGTTCTACACACAGCAGAGTGCAACAAAACCATTGTTTTAGCTGTAGCATCATTCTAGAAAAAGTTACCATGAGTTGAAAATTTTTTTTATAATGATTAGAAATATATTATTTATGTCTTTCCCAATTAGAAAATTTTGTAGTTAACATTTTTCAGAAATAGTAGGTTGTAGAACTCTGATTTATGAGCTACTAATCCCTGAAAAAAGTATTTGGGTACAAGTACTAGATCCAAAGATACCGTGGGCTAAACTTTGTGTCGTAACAAAAAATTTATTTGTAGAAAACGGAAAAAGCTTTTCAAAACATGCTTATAAGCAGCCTGAATAGGAATCTTTGAATCGCTGTAAATTATATAAATGTGCACTTCCCGAGTGCAGTACTTGCAATGTATGCTGTTTGTGAGTTTTACATAAAAAATATTGTTTTAAAAACTTTTCCTTTTTTTTTTTAAATTTTGTGTTAAGTAACGTGAAGATATTTGTTTAAGCTTCAGTTGGAAAGAATTCAAGATGGCCCGTTAATTTAACATTGTAACTACCAAAACCTTTACCTCAGCATATTGTTTTCAAAGACGCTTAGGGGCCTCTAGAGGGTGCTTCCCGGACTACTTTGTCACCTTTGTAAGGGGTTAAAGTTAGTTTCCAGTCTGTTTTATGTTGCTATGAGTCAAGAGGTATAAAACATGCATGTTGTCATAAAGCAGCATGCTGTAGGGGGGCTGATGGCCACGCCAAAAGAATTTGTGTCTTCTTTTGTTGCAGCCTTCAAGACACAAGTATGTCTGATATAGATAATTTTTATTCTTGCAGAACCAGCAGAAGCGACGAGTAGAGCTTCAACAGATAGTACAAAATGTGCAAGGTGCTCTTGAGAAGTTTGAGCACGTTGTCTCGCTGCTGAAGGACACCTCTTGATGCGGCCAGCCGTAGACAGACCTGCCCCATCCTCCATCGAGTGTTGTCCTCACAATCCAATACCTTGCCATCTACCAGACGTGCATCTCTTCACAAGATCTGTTGCCGGAAAGTCGCTGCCTGCCAAACCGTGTCCCATCCGCTAAGTGCCGTCTACAGTCAGCATCCTCCTGCATTTGCCGTCTGCAGTAGTCGTCTGCAGAGGCCGTGTGTGATGACCGTCTCTAATGGCCATTTGTCGTGGTCATTTTCATTGTGCATCTGCGGTCTACCATGGCCTGCTGTTATGGTCATCTGCATTCTGCAATTGCTGTCTGCAGAGGTCATCTGGAGCTGCCATGTCTGACGATTGTCTGTAAATGGCGTGTATCATGGTCATCTGCACTTTACAACTCCTGTCTGCCATGGCAACCTGTTATGGTCATCTCCATACCGCAATTGCTGTCTGCAGATTTTATCTGGAGTGGCTGTGTCTGGTAACTGTAATGGTTATGTGTCATGGTCATCTGCACTTTACAGCTCTTTTCTAGCATGGCCATTGGCCATGCTAGAAAAGAGCTGGTATTGGTCATTGGCAATCACTTGCCATCTGCAGTAGTCATTTGCAGTGGTCGCTGCATCTGCCTTCCGCAATGGCTGTCTGCTGCCACTGTTTGCCATCTGCAAATGATCACTACAACTCCTTGTGCAGTGATCACTTGCATAGTTTGTAGCAGCCTCCATCTGCAAAGACCATGTGCATATGTTGCCTCTGTTGTCCATCTCCAATGATTGTCTGAAACTCTGCGACCACCATTGTGCCCATTCCACCTGAAATGGGACGACCGAGCACACATGTGACTGTCGGCTGTTTTCTTGTCTGCGGATGCGGGTCTTACTTGACGTCACATGTCACAGAAGCCATGACATTTTGTGTATGAGAAAGCATTTCTTGTGGTACTGGAGCTGTTATTTCTGGGAATGTGTGCGTTCTAGTCAACTTCCTTTGTTGAGTTCTGGCACTGGCATTTTGAAACATTGCTTTCAGAGGTTAGTGGCTGGGGAAAATGGAATTATGTGAACCTTAATGACTTCAGCAGTTGCTGAGTGCAGAAAGTAATCATAATTCATTCAGACTTTAAAAGTGTAACTCCAAAGAATCCGGCATTTTTAAATTAATGCGTGAGCAAGGACTCTTTGTTTGCACTGGGCTGGCGTTAGAATCCCTTGCCTTGAGAGTTGGTTTACTAAGCTTCCAGCTTGGGCGCAAGGTGATGAATGTTCTTGTGATCTTTGTACTGTTGATGAATACATCTATGATCTTTTTAAAACCAGAAACTTGCCAATTTGTGTTGTTCTTGTTTTTAATATAAGTTTTTATCTGGCTCTCACAGTATGATATGGCCCAGCTAAGAAGGGCTTTGCTTGGTGAAGCTCTGGATGTGTGTACTTAACCTAGATTTGTTCTAACTTATTTAGGTTCAGGCAGTGGCAATTCCTTGCATAGTTTTGAGGTTGGCCACAACGCAAGGCTCCTAGATCCCTCCCGAAACAGAAGGTAGTGAAGCAAATTTGGACAACTTAGTTTGCGTGCATGAACATCTAACCAATTAGTATAAGCTTGTTTGCACCAGTGTCCCAAGTCACCCTAATCTTGCTTTTATTTGTGTGTGCATCCTTTAAGAGAGGACTGTAGGAACCTTCATTTATCAGGGTGTGCATACCTGTTGTTATGTTTTGATATTAATTGAGTTGTCACAAAAAATGCTCACGAAAGGTGGCATAAAAGATATACTGTGCTTTTCTTTTTTTTTTAATTTTGTGTTTTGTGCCCATTGCTTTTTCAGGTCATACTTTATTTGCCCTTGTGTTGCCCTCCCTGCTATAAGTTTGAGCAGTTTTCCCACCCTTTACATATCGGCCCCTTTGAGTTGCTAAAGGCGAGAATGTGTGCCAACAGAACCGACCATAATAGGTAGTGTGTGGAGGTCATAAGGCAACTAAGAAAGTCTCTGAACTACTGTCAACTTCCAAACAGCAGATCTTGCTTGATAGGCATTCGCAGTCACAATTGGTAAACTTCCATTATTTGATAACTGATGAAACTCTAGTATGTGTGCTCATTGCCCGGAAACTTAGCGGCATTTCATTGCGATCACTTGATTGTTGCGCGGAAAGGAGCTCTCAGAGTCAAAGCAGGGTTTCCAGTGGGTGACGCGTGCCAAATGCGGGACCACGTTTTTTTGGAAGTGAACTGGGATGTTAGTACTAATTGCATTTCTCGAGAGTTTGGTGGTTTGGTGGTGCCAGCTAGAGGCAGTGGGCAGCAGGCAGTTCTGTGGGGTGCATGGACAAATGCAGTGTCTCGAAGGGGTCAATACAAAGCTGCTTTGCCTTTGTCGATCGGCAGTTGATGTGCAAATGTTGCATTTAAGTGGACGAGAGCCGTCGGCGTTACTTGGTTGTTGCGTTGTAGAGCCTGCTGATGTGGAGCTGTGCACCAGTGCCAATTTCTTTTACCTACAGCTTTAAAAGCAGGAAGATGAGTTTTTTGTTTGCTTTTGCCGTACTGGCATTGTTTTTTGCATTACCTAAGTTCTGAAAATGAGGAGGGCAGTCAAAAGAAAAACGGGAATCTAGACACCGACTGTCGAGTTACAAGAAAAACATTAATGACTCTTAAAATATTTAGCTGCATTTTTTTTTTTTTGCCCTTTCACGTTGACTATTAAGAAAATTTGCAGAAGACTGGAGTGAACATTTTTTTTTAACCTCATTGTCGAGCAGAAATGGGAAGCATTTCTGACGGAACCTCCGATTTTTGTGGATTACTCCGATCAACTGAAACTCTCGCCGTGTAGACTAAATCCAACGTCTCAATAGGCCCAACTACGTTATGACCGGTTTGGACTCCTCATGGGGGATCGCTAGGCAAACGAGGTCCACACAACGCGTCGCGGTGGAAAGTAGCGTCGTAACCCAGTCGGTCACTGAAATGCAGATGGCCGAAGCGGCCTCAACCTTTTAACCGTTTGGGACAGGCCCAGCTCGTGGACGCGGAGCCATCCTCAAACTGTTTGGGACGAACGCAGTTTGTCCGCTTTTCCTGTTTCACGCGCTCAACTGTTTTGGACGAACCAGGCTTGCACAATAGTTTGCAGCTCTGCCAACAGATGGTAGCGCCGAATTTTTAAAAACTTTTTGTCCCATTTCGTTTGCGGCTATAAACATGATTTTGAAGGCAACCATTCGCGTTTTGAAGAGAGCAGTGATCTGGTTGAAGGTCAGGAATTCCCACCGTCGGTCTGCTCCCACATCGTACACCGATGGTATGATCTGCCTTGAGCACGTCTGAGGGACGTGTTGTACGGCCGTCGGAAACATGCCTTAAACTGCGTCTGTAGAGTCTTTTGTGCGAGCAGCCCTCGATGGCTGCTTCTGACCCGTTGCTCTCTTCAGAATTCCCAGAATCGCTCATTATTGCTCAAAGACGAAGGGAAGAACAACACTTTTGGGGACAAAGGGACGACGGACACTTCTCCTTTCAACTCTCAACAATGCAAATATGGCGAATCTCCTAGTGTAGTATTCTTGAACTCACCCCCCCCCAGAATCGTTAGAAAGGAAGAAAAAGAAAGCGAGCGAAGGGAACAAAAGAAGCTTCCATTTATGAGATCGGAGGCTCGTCGAGGCCGGTCATCCGGCGGACCTTCCGAAAGCCACGTTGTAGAGATTCTCTCTTGGCCGTCAGCGGCAACACACTACAACTAGAAACGATAAGTGGGATCGCTTTGTCGCCGTCTTGTACACTCGTAATTCGACGCGTCGGCTAAAAGCCACTGCTTCATGGTATAGCGTCGATGTGGTGGTTCAATCGGAGCTCGTACAAAAGCTTGAAGGGGCACTGGCACGCCAAAGGTCATATTTTTGTTTCTTTGTCTAAAACGATGGGGGCACTTTGTGAGCAGCACGTGGAAGTTCCAAAAGCTTCGACAGACTATTTTCATTCACCCCATTGTCATTCACTCCTGCACGTGCAGTGGCTGTGTTCCGAGTTTTGACCAAACAAGAATTTCGGGAGGGCGCAATAACGGGTTTTGCAAAGAAATTCTAGAATCCTTCAGCGTGAACTCGGGTAATAATAATACTTTGGCGCCTTCGATCATTTTAACTAAGAGTGAGATAGAATTTCACACTCCGGAGTTGGCATAATTGCATTTCATCTTCCATCTAGCAATGCAATTTTTCTGTCACCCTTTTTCTGTCCCAGTTTGTCCTGTGTTTACCATATTGCTCCCTTCATGCGCTCTCTTTTTCTTCATCTTTTATGGTTCTGGGCAGGGGTGGGCTCAAAAATATTCTGCTAAGAAATGCACCGTATTTGTGTTGTTGCAAGTTGAAAGAAGAAGTGCCCGTCGTCCTTTTGTCCTAAGTGTGTTATTCTTTCTGTGGTCTTTGTCCAAAAACCAACTCGCTCCCCAGTTTATATTATACACTCGTTGCCCTTTCTTTGAGCACCTCCGCACAGCAATTTAGGCAGCACCCATGGCGCTTTACACGACAGCTGCTGGTAGCTTCCCGGTTTTCCTATCCAACTCTACATTCCGGAACCAAGACCCAGCGATGCAGCGAGACCGTAACCTTGTACTGCCGTGCCTCTCGCCGCGAAGCCGTAGCTCTAGTGCCCCCGGAACATTGAGCATCTCGTGTGTTTGTGAAGCATGCACACGCCCTATTCTTGTCAGATTCTTGTCAGACGCTTGACGCGGCTTTCCGTGTAGGCATTCGGGAGGCATTGTTTTTTGTTGCGTCCCTTCGGCCGACAGAGACTTCTGTTTGCGAAGCTTTGCTCGCTCTACTGACTTGCTCACTTTATAACAACCAGTATTTATAGTAGTTTCTTTCTTTGTGTGCGTTTTGTGTGGAATTCTAATGCCTATATTGTTGCCCTTTGAGTGATTATGTCAGCTCGGGGCAAGATGGAGGGGTGTCTCAATGGCCGGCACACAATGAACGGTGCAGAGTGGCAGCTGGAACACTTGTTTTAGAGATGCCTTTAATGAGGCAGTAACAAGATTGTTCTATGTGGCAGGTGTCTCATTGCTGGACTATTGTTGCGCAGAGCTCTAGGAGTAACTTGCCCGATGGAACGAATTTTGCTGCTTCGAATGGAATTGTACAACGTTCTTCGGTTTCTTTTTGTAACCGTGGCCAACTTGCAGTGTTGCCGAGAGAATAGTGAGGACTTTCACTGAGAAAAGGAACCTGTTAGATCTCTATTGCTAGACTACGCATAAAGCCCACTGGTTTCTATCCAACATAGGGTTCTATTTCTCGTCTTTTTCATTACAGACTCAAAACCGATTTTGTAGTTTTTCGATGGATCGAGCCGAAGTTGCGCTGGTGTCCGTCACGTGAGGGGCCTCAACGGCTTGCTCTAACCCTCCGCTCTTGCAGAAGGACCACCCAATCCGACGTTAGTTTTTGCGCAACCTGTAGCTTACTTCAAAGGCTGGTTCGGACGCTGATGACCGTTTACAACTGACTGCATTACAACCTCTCGCGATGAGTTGCGGCGAGACGACACACTGGCGCCATTTATGAGGTGGCCTTGGAACTCTATTCCACTTGAGGGAAGGTTTTGCATATATTTGCGAAACTAAATGGAACATACTATATATGAGAAAGGGGTGTTTCTAACATTGCAAAGGTTTTTGAAGCCAATGCAGAGCGAAAGTTTGTCTGCTTCTTTTGCAGGGTTTCTGTTGATGACGAAATGCGAAGCTCTGATTGGCTCTGATTGAAGGATAGTGGGTAGACCTCGAGGCAGCTTGCTTTGAGGTCAACCCACACTCCTTCAATCAGAGCCAATCAAAGCTCGGCGTTCTGACGTCACTGCAACCCCTGCGAAAGAAGTAGACAAACTTTCGCTCTGCATAGAGAAAGAATTATGCCCGTAAAAGTAGGAAATATATGGATATGATAAGCACAGGCTAAACAAAACAGCTGTGGTTTTGGTGATTGTTGGGGGCATGTCTCCACACTTCTGGCTTCACCTCTGGTGGCATTGTGTTGGCTCCAGAAGCTTCCCACCTCCGTGGTTTCATGGCTACCCAGTAGGTGGCGCCAGGGTCTTGTCGTGAGAGATCGCAACAGGTCGTAGTGCATTCGCAACTGTGTGGGCGAGCCTAAGGTCCGGCCTTCCGCCCTCAACATATCGTTCATTGTTCGATGCAACCCTGTTCGGAACGAAAGTTGTGTGGATGGTTCAGGGTCTACAAGACGCGATGCAGTGTGTGATTGCAGAGGGACTATTTTTTTCTATGTGCGATCATTGTGGTCATGTACGCTGAGTGTCCGTTTTCCCTGTACATATGAGAGAAAGGGTAACATTTCACTAGTCGCGGGTGAAGCCTGTCCGAAAGAAGTAAATTATTGAGTCTGGGGGTGTAATATTTTGGGAAGGTGGAACGTGTGAGTGTGGAAATATGTCGTCATTTTGCTGCGCAGGTTCAGGACTTTTTTGTCTTCGCAAGTCGAACGCGACCTGTCGTCCTTGTTTGTTATTTTATTCCGACAACCTCAGTTCAGGAATTTTTTCACCATTGTCAGTCAATGGTGAGGAGTTGTTTTGTTTTGTGATGCTATTCAGTTTTAACGATGTATCATATCGGAACGTGTTTTCTGCCAAACTTGTTTTACGAGCTGTAGAGACTCGTTTGCATATGCTTAACCCCTCTTGTTACCTTGTACATACACCACTTGTGTGATTCATTGTAGATAATTTTTTTAAACTTATAGAAAATTAAATTAATATTACTGCGAGTCTCACCGAAGAGCTTGTCTTGTTTCTTGGTGCAGCATGGTCTGCCAAATCATGCAGGTGTTCTCCAGGTAGGTGTCTTTCCTATGAAAATATTTTGGAAAACTCGTGGTACCACTAGAAGTCAGCCTATCGTAGCAAGAACACTCTCTCTTTTCTTTCTCAACTCTTGAAAGGCTGTGATTAAATATTTTCTAGAATGATTTTAAAGTTGTGTTCATTAATTTAAAATACATAGATGGCCAACCTACTCTTACTTATTTTATATGTACCATGGTTAAATAGGCTGGATCATTTCACTCGAGCAGTGACTATTTCGACGTCTACCGTTAAAATATCTAAAAAATTATTTTGACGTCCGTGGCAATATTCAAAATTGTTTTGTAAGTGGACGTCGAATTAGTCTGGCAATAGCTATAGTTGGTGGCAGGTCAAGAACGAAGTGGAAGCTCCTCCCATCCCTTTCCACTTTAGTAGAGCAATGCTGGAGAGGAGGCGACCTCCCCTCCATCGTTCGCTCCGCGGAAGTGGGAAGAGCTTCCAGTTCCTGTTTTTCCTTTTGTTTTTTCTATTAACAGTCATGGGGTTAACGTGTGCAGCCACGAGTACTATCGAAAATTAATAACGACAAAAGTGCTTTTACATTTCGGAAAAACCCCGAGACTGGGACAATAATTGTCCCAGTCTCGGGTTTTTTTTTTCGAAATGTTTAACCACCACCAGCTCGTTTGTGTCCTTGACTTTTGATCAAAAGTGCTTTTACTTGCCCTAAACAACAAAAACAAAAACAGTTTTTTTTGGCAAAAAAAAGGGGGGGGGGGGTATGTTTATAGCTTAAAATTTGCAAATATTTTAAGCGATTTTGTGATAAGATCAGATACAAAAAAAAAGTTTCTAAATATATTGTTTTGTTTATCTGGCTTTTAGGTCTTTAACGATTTAAGTTTAATCTCCATTTTCAGAAGTCGTCTGCTTTCGTTTGGTCGGACGCTTCGAGCTGTCCGTTTTGCTACCGTCTCGGTCCCGCAATATTCCTAACACGCCGCAGTTCCTAGTCCCGTGTCGCTGAATAAAATTTCAACACCCGAGAAGTCAAAAGGGTAAGTAGTTCCCGCATTCCTACGCAATTGAACCGCATCTCGAAGCGATTTCGATAGCTAGGCTGCTGTTTGAGCGATGCCCTCGCCGAGCTCGAAAAAGCCGATTCGTAGACAGAGCGAGGGAAACGGAAAAGACACAAGCGAAGAACACAGTCGTGCTTATCATGCACTAATAGAGCCTTTCTCAAATTAGCCGATGATAATCGCTCCAACCTAGACATGATCCCAACATTCCTTAACGGACTTGATGCAATTGCGCAAACGGGCTGGTCTACAATGAACGTGACAAAAGCCCCGAGACCGCAGATTAAAAAAAAAAAAAAAAAAAAAGACTCATACTCTGATAGGTGTGAAACATAGCTGTATTTGACACATTTCAGTGTTCGTGTCGTGTTTTATCCACAGTCTCGGGGATTTCGTCATGTTCAACATTCCTTACTTTCAGCAGCCGGTCAGTATCAACCAAGCAAGTTTTAAAAAGTGCCGTCGTCTGCTACATCTAAACAGTGTTCGTAGCATGTCACCGACGAGGGCAGCTAAGCCAACTATAGTTCGAAACAACCTGAACAGAACAAATAATTCTTCGAAACAGAAAAATTTGATTCATTCGTTAGTAATGATACAGTTGCCTAGAGAGGGGTAGTTGGTTCACTCGGCCGCGAAATCGGTCTGGACTAGAGCACTATATAGCTCCTACGGAGCAGAGTAGCGCAATCCTTTGAACTCCGTGTTTTGCCGACAACATGGCCGACAGAGCGGCTCGGCGCGAGTCACGTGGTACTCAGGGTTCCAGGAGGCGGCCCGCCCTATGGGAGAATACATGGAGATCGATACAACACGGCTGATTAAAAAATGAACGGCGAGTTCACACTTTTCAAAACTAGCCTGTCGTGAAGTTAGTAAAGCACTAAACACTTTATCAAAGTTTTAATAATATCGGATGCGTGTGCAAATTTTGAGAAGGCAATTTCCAAGGCAATGGCGTTTGAAGCAGACGATTTTTGCTCGCAGCGGAGATGGGCTTTTCGGGTTGGCCAGAGCGGGTCACGTGAATGGTGTGACGTCGCCGTGTCGTCTGCTGCATGATGCCGCTCAAGCAATTTTTTAAAAAAAGTCAGGTCCTTTCGGGGCACAAAACTTAGCGCAAATTATTCTAAAATGTTCCATTATTATGTCAAAAATGATTGCCATTCCGTACATTCCCACATTACTGAAGAAACAACGATTTTCTCACGTTCTCCATGCATTTCTGACCGCAGTTGGAACCTCCGGGCGTTCACCGCTAGTCGCCGAGAGGCGGCGTTCTAGATTGCGCTACTCTGCTCCGAAGGAGCTATATAGTGCTCTAGTCTGGACCAGGGAACCCGCAAACGTGGGAAAAAAAAAAAAAAAAAAAAAAAAAAAAAGGAGCAGGATAGTGGTGGATGGTGTGTTTACCCCGGCCAAAAAAGTGGTCCCTCCATTTGCGCCTGATGACGTCATAGAAGTGTCATGCAGTCGCCGGTCGCGACCCTGGCGGCGTCCCAACAGTTGTGGTAGACATTTCAGACGCCTGTTCTGCTGCAGGTCGCTCTCCACTGTGACAGTTCACGGAAACTATAGCAGCCGGAAGTTGGGACGTCGTGACGACAGCGACACTCGCGTTCGCTCGTGCTTTTTGCCAGCATTTCTACGGCCAACCGCCAGAATCGCGACAGGCAAGAACATGACCTCCGGCTTCTGTGACCTCATTTGTTGCCACTTGGGGACCACTTTTGATGTATGGGCGGGTAGGACGCTAAACACACCAGTTGGAGACGCGATCCAGTTGCCCTCAAAAGTCTCGCTCCACTGGCCGTGAACCGCCAGCTTGTCGCGGTCGCTCCGAGTTCGCGGCCTTTCATTTAACGCAGCGGGGGGGTTTGTTGACTAGAAAACGCGAGTTGATACGATCCAAGCAAGATATAGGGGGAAAAAAGACGTGCCAAAGCTTTAGTCCCGCTGGCTAATTCCCTTCAAGGTTCGCCACACCGCTAAGACAGAAAATAGTCACGCAAAGACCCAACAAATGAAGACCCCCCCCCCCCCCCCCCCAGCTAACATATATTCCTACTTTTGACGATCCCTCGCAATATCCTTTCTTTTTTGGCTCGAAAAGCTTTTGTCAATGTTATAAACGAGCCTTTCTATGGGTATTACGCACATTTGACCTCGGAAATCCCGCAAAACCTTCGCTTTTGTGAAATGCAGTTCTAGGGTCACCGCATAGATGGCGCCACAATGTCAGTGTGTTCCCTCATTCTAGAAACATTTAAGAAGTTGTAAGAGATCTCGTCTCTCTCAGTCGTACTCGGTCGCAAGAGTGTGAACCCGAAGTCAGGGCAAGGAAGAGAAAGAGATAAGCTTACACTTCTCTACCCATTAATACCAACGATCCTATGACAAGGGAGGCCGCCCCTCACCCCCAAACAAAGTCGACCCCCGCCCCTCCCCCCCTCTCGGTGGGCAATTTGAGGTGGGTGGACCCCCCGGTGCATATGAAAGAATGGGTGAATAGTATCCTTACAAATTTTCCGCCCCCCCCCCCCCCCAAAAAAAAAAAAAAAAAAAAAAAAAACGGAGTTTTTGGCTTGTTTTTGACATAAATACACGGTTCAATATGTTTGGCAAGGCACTTTCCGCAACACAGACGTGTCTGTTCTGACCTACCAAAAGATCGGGTATCTTTTCTTCATGATTATTCAGACAGATTGAGTGATCCGATGGATTCGTTTCTCCAGGAAATCGACGACACCGATATTACATCGGTGTCGTCGTTGAAAAGGAAACTGAAGGACAGGTCCTTGTCCACGTGCTCCAAACAGATAAACTTAAAATAAACTCCTCTACCCATTAATACCAAGTTAACGATCCTTGTCTCCCGTTAGCGGTCCCCAAGAGTACAAAAAATACCTTAAAAATAATTAATTGCTGTTCTAAAATGTTTTGAAAAAAAAAAAAAGACAAGGAGGAAAGGAAGACATTTTGATAGCATAACGGGAAGTATGTAGGATTTTGGGCGACGATGAAATAACTTAACTTGGAAAGGGATACAGGTCGTCTTTCACAGCGAAGATTTTGTAAAAAAAGTTCAAGGCCACGCTCAGTGTTTTCTATCCCAGTGGTAATTGATGAAAATCGCTCATTACAAAAAGTGTTTTTTTTTTACGATAACAAAAAAAAAAAAAAAGACATTGAGGTAGTAAAAAAAAAAAAAAAAAAACCTTTGGTGTGTTGTCTTGTTCTTGCAGTTCTTATTTGTAATTGCCTTGGGGTATGTTTCTGTGGAAAGGAATCCTGTCCTCTTCGAATTTTCTAGAAGCTACTCGAAACTGGTCTTTCTCCCCTTCATAAAATCGCGTGCACCTTGGTGTATTTCGGCAAAAAGGAAGTCTATTATTATATGGACGGTAACATATTATAAACCATTTCCTAAATTACCCAAGGGCCGGAAGCGTGCGCGTGCTAGCGCTTGCAAAATAACTTTTCAAAGCAAAAAAAAAAAAAAAAAAGCACTCCGCACGCGCGTTTTTTACCGCCTTATTTTGGTTATTTACGTGCTTCAAATCTTTTTATGCAGATAAGGAGAACGCGCGCGTGTACTCACATTACCAGCATTCTGCTCGACATGGGTAGGTTGGCAAAAGGTATACATCATTCCAATATTTACAAGTGCTCAGCCCAGCGTCCGATCTTCCCCTCCCAGTACGCGCGCATTTTCGTCGCTTCGGAAAGCGAGCAAATCACGCGCCATAGGCACGAACACTGAAAATAGAAACGGCCAGTGGCCCGTTTTTGGAAATGTTCTTATTTAACAGAGTAAGGAACATTCTGGAACTTAATTCGGCAGTGGCGTACCAACTTGCTTTTGAAGGGGGGGGGGG